GCTACCTTTGGCAAACAATTTCACATTCTTAAACTTTGAATACGGAATCCACTCAAGAATACTATATCTGCTAGTTGTTACTAACTGTATTTCCTTTATAAATACGTCGATATTATTGTTTCCACTTTTCCAACTATCAAAATTTTGTTGAAAACGAGAAGAATTACAAGACTGGCACCAATAATCCGTTATCGTCACCTTACAGCACTGTTTACACCTTTTTCCTATAATTAATTGGATTTTATAAATTACAACGAATAACCAAAAAAAATACACTGAATTAAACTTACCATCTATGATAATAAAGGATAGGAATATAATTAAATCTCATTCATGTGATTTTACGAAAAATTACAAAAATACCTCGAATTCTACTTACTATCTACAATAATAAAGGATAAGAATATAATTAAATCTAATTTCATGATTTTACAAAAAAATAACAAAATTTAACTTACCATCTATAAAATTTACAATTAATGCAATTAAATTTCAATTCATATTATTTTACGAAAAAAATAACGAAAATATACTGAATTTAACTTACAGACTAAAAAATTTGACAATTAATACAATTAAATATTATTTAATATTTTACAAAAAAATATAACTATTTTAACTTACAATCTATAAAATATGACAATTAATACAATTAGTCCCATTTCATATGGTTTACGAAAAAATAACGAAAATGTACTGGATTTAACTTACCATCTATAAAATATAACAATTAATCCAATTAAATCTCATTTCATATTATTCTTCGTAAAATAATAAAAATGCACTGAATTTAACTTACAATCTACAACAGTAGAGAATAATAACAATTATATCTCATTTCTTGTTAGTTTACGAAAAAATAAAGAAAATGTACTGGATTTAACTTACCACCTATAAAATTTGACAAATGATTGCAATTAATCTCATTTCATATGGTTTTACGAAAAATAACGAAAATGTACTGGATTTAACTTACACTCTATTAAATTTGACAATTAATACAATTAAAGTTTTATTTCATATTATTTTACGAAAAATAACAAAATGTACTGGATTTAACTTACCATCTGTAAAATTTGATAATTAATACAATTAAATTTCATTTCATATAATTTACGAAAAAATAAGAAATATGTTGAATCTAACTTACCCCCTATAAAATTTGATAATAAAATTAAATCTCATTTCATATTATTTTACGAAAATATAACGAAAATGTACTGAATTTAACTTACGGACTAAAAAATTTGACAATTAATAAAATTAAATATGGTTTTGCGAAACAATGTCCAGGATGTTCAACTTACTTCCTACAAATTTATGATTAATACAATTAGTCTCATGGCATACTAATTATCTAATGAATTTCTCTGAATATAGATACCTCCTACAAATATTATTGTTAAGTTAAAAATCTCATTTAAAAATTTTACTGCAATAATTCATTAAAAGATCAACCTTCTGCTGCTTCTATCAGTTTTTTCACATCTTCTGAAATCATTATGTAATATTAGGATCAAATAACAATAATAACAGCGTGGCTTCTATTAATATTGTCCAGTGTTGGTCGTGTAATTTTATGAATAACGAATGATACATGTACAGTAAATATACTGCACGATAAAAGAAACTGCAAAATTAGTCTATATATGTTTGATGGTAATTGAAAGTAGTTAAGATCATCAAAAAATGCATATCATGTGCTACGGCCGTTTTTATTGGTTAATAGTCCTGCTTTGGATCATTACATTACAATTATATCATAGGCAAAATTAAACAACGTATAAGTATAGTGCTCTAATATTCCTCCCTCTCTAGGCCGTTTTTTTATGGTTAGCAGTCCGCACTTGAAAAAACATCTCTCGTTATGCCTTATGAACAAACAAATATCCAACCTGACGAAAATGACACAGATCGTAACAGATACCAAGAAGATGACGATACCTCTGAAGATGAGAGAAGTAACTGCTGGACCCCTTTCCACGACCATATATAAAGGAAATTTGTTAGATATACAGAATAGAAAAGCGTTGTTATAATCCTATCCACGCAATAAGGATATCAAATTTAACCCTCTCCCAATGGAAAAAGAACTTACCAAACTTATGCCGAAACACGCTAAGGAAACAGATAGATTATTATCCAAGCTATCATACCGGCACTCAGCATCTTCGATCTGGCTCTTAAAACATTCTATGAATCAAAACCACAGAAAGATAATGAGAACGAAAAGAGCACTTGGTAATATCTCGAAGAAGCTATGTTGTCCACTAGAGCTCTTATATGTCATATACAAATGAGTTACGCCCTTAAGTATATCAACCCAAATCATACAGAACAGCAATCAGATGGTGTATTTGATGAGGAATTACATGAAATTATTAAAAAGGAAGGTGACAGAGCCAAATATATCAACTACGCACTTACAAAAAAACGCCAATCTGAAATGCTAATAAGCCACAACGAAACCAAATAATATATCCTTCCGTGGAGGATCCAAGTTAAATCGCTACAAGTCCTCACGTCGTGGCTCCTGACAAAATCAAGGAAATTTTCAAGATACCCCCCCAAAACAGTCAAAACCAATAACATTAGAGAATGGACACAATGGTAGAAGACTTGCTCGATTTGCAGATATTTGGACCCAAGAATTTGGCAACCACTGGGCTTCTACTTTAGTATGCGAGGATTACAAGCCTATTTTGGAGAAATCACTACCACTAACAATCCAAGTTATAAAGATACGTCTCAACAAGCAAACAATGATCTATCAGAGAAAAAATCAGAAAAAATTAGAAAATGGAGTTATTAAAAGTTTTTCCCCATGCCAAAAAAATCAGGAGAATTGATGCCAGTAATAGATCTCAGACAAATCAATGGCTTCGTAAAACATTTCAAAATGGAGGGTATATAATTAGTAAGTCACTAGTGCAACAGAACGATAATATGGTTTCAATAAACATAAAGATGCATTCCACCATATCCATATACATCCCGATGCACAAAAATATTTTGCCTTCGATTTAAAAGGACAACAATACTGTTTCAAGTGTTTACTTTTTGGACTTTCAATGAGTCCAAGAATCTTTACGAAGATTCTCAAACCATAATACATTCAGCACGCACAAAAAGGATCAAATTAGTAGCATATATGGACGACATTCTACTAATTGCAAAAGCCAAGAAAGAAGCAATAATGAACATTCAGACAGTTAATAAGATCTCTAGGCTTCACAATAAACATCAAAAAATCATGTCTAAAGCCAGGGCAGTCCATATAATTCTTGAGATTAATCGTAAATTTGAATCAAACGAATCTATTATTATCCCAAGGAAAGATCACAGAAATAATAAAAGAATGAAAACAATATCAACAAAAACACGAGCCATATAATAAATTAGCATCCATAATTAGAAAGATCATAGTTTCAAATGACAAAATACCAGCACGTCTTTTCTTTCGACAATTACTGAGAGACAAAAAACAACAATTACGAATCGGGGATGAAATTACTTTGTTGACCTATCAGACGGAAGCAAAATACAACTTCAGAATTAGGCAAAACACTTAGAAAGTTGGGATGGCAAAGCCCTAATAAAGAAACAATCAAGAGCAATAATTTATACCGATGCCTCCACAATGGATTGGGGTGCTGCAATGAACAAAATACAATTTCAGGAAGATGGAATGAAAAGAAAAAGAAATATCGCATCAATATCTTAGAAATAACAGCAATAAAGAAAGTATTATTGAAATGGACATTCCTCCGAGACAGTCAATTCTTTTCTGATCCAATTCGATGACGACAGTAGCATATATCAACTATCAGGATGGGACTATATCACCTATCATAAGTCAGATAGCTGAAGAAATTTGGAAACTATGCCTGGAAAGGAATATTCACATTCAGGCCCAATATATTCCCGATTCAATAAACAAAATAGCGGATGCAGCATCTCATTCTTATCAAAATCAATCAGAATGGATGATATTGAAAATAACGTTCAACTGAATACAACAAATAATGGAAGACTTATTCGCAATATCTCTAATGCTCAAACTCGGATGTTCTTCGGTTGGAAATAGGAACCACAGGCAATAGCCATAGACACACTAGCACAGCCGTGGAAAGGTTGGAGGACCTATGTCAATCCTTCTTGGAATCTGATTTCCAAATTCTTGCCAAGGTAAAACGGAAACAGTTGAGGATAGTTCTGATATTTCCATTATGGAGATCAGCACTGTATTTTTCACTTCTTGAATTGTTGATAGACATTCCAGTAATTCTCCCCAAGTCAACAGTAATATACAGTACAACAAACAAATTCCCTTTCGCAATCCAAAGTGGAAAATTTGCGCAGCACCTCTATTTAGAAATCTCTCAAAGATCAAGGATTTTCAGAATGGGTTGCGGAGTTGTATATTGCAGCACATGATTCAAGAATATCTAAAAAGAAGTCCATATACAGTATATATGCCGATGGTTTAATTGATGTGCTGAGCAAGATCTCAATCCCATTAAATGTACTTTACCCAAAATAGCTGGGTTTATAAATAAACTCTATCAAAAAAATTATGCATATAATACGATTGCAGGATATAGAACAGCGATCAGTGATATACATGAATGGATCGAGGGAAAACCAATTGGTGCACATTCATTAATTACAAAAATTATGAGAGGATTATATAAACTTGATCTACCAAAACATAAATCCTTCGAAGTTATCGACGTGTTTCCTTTAATGGAGTTTCTTTAGGAGACAACGAGGAAATGTCTATTATTCAGCTATAAAAAAAGATTGCCTTTTAATTTCCCTACTACAGGAAGTCGATCTTCTAATATTATACAAATCAATCTTTTATCACTAAAAGAGAATAGTGAAGAATTAAGTTGGATGTTATCAACCCTAAGGAAGCTAAAATATCAAGATCACACGGGGAACAAAGTTGCATGTCAAGAAAATATTTATAGAATACACAGAAAATAGGACTTTATGCACAGCATCAGCCATTAAAACTTATCTGAACCGTACTGCCGATTGGCACATATCATCCATTCAACAAGCTACATTGTTTTTTACTAGGTTCACATAGTCCAACATCAGTTTACATGATGCCAGATGGATAAAAGTATGTATAAAAGAAAGTTCAAATGATCTAACAGCTAAAGATGCACGTGTTATTTCTGCCTTTCTAGCACAGAATAATAGAGTAGATTTGGCATCAATTTTAAGCATGTGTAATTGGTCGAGCAACACTACTTATTCAAGGTTTTATTAACAAGGAATATTTTTGTTACTTCAAAAAATAAGGTGCCTACAAGGAACGTTGATAAGACACTTTCATTTGGAAATATGCTCCGATAAAAAAAAATGAGAAAAACGAAAGAAATATAAAATCATTAAAATGGCCTAGAGAGGGAGTGATATTAGAGTACTATACTTATACATTGTTTACTTTTTGCCTATGATACAATTATGATGTAATGATCCAAAGCTGGACTATTAACCGATAAAATCGGTTTTAAGCACATAATATGCAATTCAATCTCTTGCTCATGCATTTCTAAATGTCTTTCGTTTATACTCGGACATTTGCATAATTTCCAGATCCCGGTTTACTTTATAAAATACATGGGTTTTCGAAAAAAATCCGAAATTTTTTTAAACATAAAAGTTTCTACATAATACATATTAAACCTTTTGTTTTATTAACTACATCTACTTTTGCATATTAAGTATAATCTAGATCACTAAATAAATATACAGTAAAGTTTTGTTGATTTTTAACATTTCATTATTAATATTTACATTTTACATTGTATACAATGATCTTATTTTAATTTTCATATTACCTTATTTCTAAAACTAGGGTTTTAACAAATAATCTATAATTAATCAATCTTATTTATCATGTTTAAATTATCCGTGTATTAAATTTTATATATCTATATTTAATATTTAATAAATTGTTTAATAAATAAAATTGTTATTGAACAAAAAATTAAATTTTAAATTAATATCATTAATTTATAATCATAATTTCTTATAAAAGTTTTTATTTTATTATGCAAAATGATCTTATTAGATTAAGTAAATGTTTCTTATAATAAATTTTATTTATAAATTTTATTAAATTCAATGGAATTATTATGTAATATAAAAAATACTTGTTATTAAATAATAGATTTTATATATTGTATATCATTTTTATTTTAAGAGAATGATATGAATAAAAAACTATTAGCAGGAAAACACTAAGTTGAAAAGGCCAACATAATATATTAAAAGTCCTAATAATATATAGAATTAATATAGTTCTGAAATCAATAAGGTCAAAAAAAAAAGGCAATAATGATTTGTTTTATAAAAATCAAGATATTTATTGATAAAATGAAAGTTCGACCTTGCAATACCAAATGAAATTGAAGATATACAATATTATATATGTATTTAGTATATAATTTGTATATATAATAAAAATTTTTTTAAATAGATAGGCATTTACCTTATTTAACTTTATTAAAATAATAATTTGAGATACAATTGTATATATATGCAAAAAATTACAAAAAGTCAATAACTTTTTTAAGCTATAAAGTAAACTTATTAGGATTGCTCTATTATATGACTTGTTGTTTATTTTATAAAACAAAACATTAAAATTTTTTTAAGACAACTAACTCACCAAAGCACTATTAATATTCTTAAAATAAAGACTAGTTGTAAATATTTCTTCAATGTCAGATAAGTATTTATTTAATTAATTATATATTTGTTAACTATATGTAGATATCTGTCCTTGATTTCTTGGTTGATAAAAATTTCTGTTTTAGATTTCTTTTTGTTGTTCAGAATCTTTTTTGTTTTTTTTTGTTATTTTTTATAGTTTTCCATTAAAAGAACTTGTCATATCTTGTTATACTGCTTATAAATATTCTTTAAGTCTATTAAATAATTTCAATACATTGTTAAGTATCTTTGTTGTTTATATATTTTTTTATTATTGTGATAATTGTATGTATAATTGCTTCTCTAATGTTAAGATTAAAGTTTCAGTATTCCAGAAATTGATATGTTTGAAGTTTAGTAAAAAGTTGATATTTTGTTTTCTTGTTATTATATAAGTTGATTTCTTATTTAAAATTTTATTATTTGTTGTTTGGTATAATGTTTTTATTGTCTACAAGTAAATGAATAATTTGTTAATTCTTTTTTTGCTTGCAAAAGTTATATGTTTCACTTGGATATGTGTTTTTGTTTCTTTAGTATAATTTGATTAATGTGTGAACCTTCAAGTTTTATAGTTTTCTTTAAAATTTTTGGTTATTGTAATTAGAATTTCTAATAGTACCACTTTGATATCTGTTTAATATCAGTTCAATACTTAATTTTACTATAAATTCATATGAATGGATCAAAATTATACATGTGGTGGAATTGAATTCAACCATTTTTCAAAAACCGTATTATGGTAGAATTACTAAGTAACATATAGTAAATAATTGGAATTCGTATTTAATTCAGAATCATATTGTCAATCAAATTTTCTTTTATGGTAATATGACCACATGTATGATCACAACCTATATATTAAACTTACTATAAATTGGTACTAATTTAATACTTTTTGAAGCCCTAGTTATAATCATTGAAATTTGTTATATAGTTTATAATTTTTGAAATATGAATATTATTGATTAAATATTTTCAATTGATTTTTGTATAGGTATGTGGACAGATATTTATTATGTTGCAATATGGTAATCTCTATTGGATAATATATTTAAAGAGTATACATCTTTTAATTCCTGTTTTAATAAGAACTTCTAGTTGAAATATATATTAGTTAATAAGGTATAAAGAGTTGTTTTTTTGAATGTGGTTGGCAATATTGACTAGTAATGTGTTTTTAAATGTAATGGCTTTTTTGACAAGTTTGTTTGCAATTTTATTGTATTCCAGTCTAGTGTGTTTTGATTTTTTGAAAAGTAGTTGAATATTATAGTTTTGATTTATTTGCTAAATAGGATTTAGCAAGTAAATATTTTTAAGTTTTTTAATAGTTTTGATTTGTTTTGTATAATAGATTTGATTCTTTCAATTGCTGCTTGCTATTTATGAAAATTGTTATTTGTGCTTAATAATACTATAGTTAGTACTATAAGTATTAATATCAATTCTGCTCTAGTTTAAGATGAATAATGACAGGTTTTTACTTGAAAGTCTATATTGTTTGATTTATTGTATATTGTCCAACCAATCCTCATTTATTGATTAATCAAAGAACTATCTATATATATTTGGATTTGATATTTAGAACATATTTAATGCATATAAAAACCAATTGTCAAATTGTTTTGAATATTGATATAATAAACTATAGGATATATATTTAGTGTTAAATTGTAGAATATATATTAATTATAGGTTGGAATTGTTGTGATATTGTAGATATTATTATGTTTTTGAAGTTGAAATATGCTTGGATGCTTGTAAGTGACATACATACTCTGTTCTATATTCAAATTATTGCAAGAAATTGTGTAGACTTTTTTAACTCTTGTAAACTAGAATGGTAATTGTTTGGTTAATATATCAAGTAACTGTATATTGATCTAAGAAGTTGTTTTCATCAATAATACAACATTTGCAAACTTTAAGTAAAAAGTTATTAAAAATTTGTTTTGTAATATTTGATGGTGATTTTGTCAATGTGCAGTATTTTTTTCTTTTTATCTACATTATTTTATTGTTATGATCTGTTGCTATCTATTTGATTTGAGATTTTTATTATAAGGTTATTTGAATGTATTTGAAAAAATATTTTCTGATAAGGTTTGTGAAATCTGTTATAATATTTTTGGATTGGTTAAAAGTTTTATTTCAAGTTTTCAGAACTATATAGGTGTTTTTTTGTTTGGTTTTTTGATAGGATTAGTTATTTATACTTATAGAAGCAAGTATATATTATTTGCATTGAGGCATTGACTTAAGAAAATAATTTGATTTTTTTGATGTTATGTTTTGTATTTAAAAAACCATATGATGCCTATTGTTTTCTTAATATTGATATATATTTTCTTGGGATGGTGATATGTGATATTGAAAAAGTAAAATCATATTATCTAAGTAAAAATATGATATTGTATGCTAAGCTTTTTGCTTCTGGAGAGAAATGGATTTGTGAGGAATAGTGAAATAAAGAGTTCTGTTGATTAATATTTATTTTGAGTTTCTTGTATTTGTATTTGGATTGGTTTTCTGACATGGTTTGAAGGATTAATTCTGTGATTTCAGTTAGTACTATGATAAATTATTTGTCAATTCTAAATGTTAAAGAAACTGTATTCAATTGGATTGTAAATTGTATTGTTAGGTGTTGTGTTTGCCAGGCCTAGCTTGTATTTGATGACTTTATTGAATTTATCTTCAATCGCAGTTAATACTTGAGATTTTTGAGATTTACTTTTTGGTGTCCACCATGGTTCGTGAATAAATGTTGATTTGCACTGTACGGATTTTTCGTCATCAATTTTGAAGATATCCTCGAGTAAGTTACGCCCATGGTTCAGTTCATAAAACATTTTATTGATTTTTTCATGTTTCCTGTGGAAAATGTTTAATTTATGTCATTTTCTTTGATGTCAAGATAGGAAAAAAATTTAATTTATAATCCCAATCAACCAACTTTTAGTACATACTATTACATGGTTAAAAATATTTATTGTTGATTTTAAATTTCCCAAGTGAGCCAATTTTGTTGGTAACACGAATGTTGAACCGGGAAAAACAACGTAAAAGCCATTTACCATGTCTTCTACCAACAGCTGTCCGAAAACGCCAGCAATTTGTATAAATGGAACCTTGATCGTATCTGCTTGTTTATCAGCTAAGTTTCTGCTCAACAGACCATTCAATATTGATTGATTGATTCTAGCTGAGCGACAACGATCTCCAACTGCTTTATTTAGAGCTGTTTCGGCAGCAAACTCCCATTCACCAAGATCTATTCCTGCACGACTTAAGAATCGGACATCACACTTGCGTCCTTTCTCATGACTTGTGAATTTGCTCAGAGGACAAAATGATTCGCCCCTAACGCACAAGAAATTCATAAGCTTATAACTTGTTAAAGTCAAAAAGGTATTCTTTATTTATTATTTACAATGTATTCCATCTCCATTTCGTAGTCCATCAACAATGTAAGCACATGCTTTTACAATAACATCAATTTCGGTGTGATGTTCACCGCCACAATCTAACAGATCATTTCCGTCTGACTTTAAAGAGGCTATATGGGTAAATTAGAAAGATAAAGACAAGCTACAAATAATAAAATGAATCACTATAAACTCTACTTATTTTATAAAGACAAGTACGGACTGATGCATCTGCATGCTGATTGAGACAATATTTG